AAGTGCTTAAGTTGAAATCTAATGGATGAGTTAGGAGCTGGAAGCCAGCACTCCAGGAAAATGAAACTGTATTAACAAAGGCTCTCTGGTGGGAGGGAGAGTCTGGGGAGATGGACCAGAAGAGAAAGGATGTGTATATTTATTTTGAGAACAAGGAAAGCCATTGAAGATGCTGAAGGGGGTTGAACTGGTCTCTCTCAAAGACTGTGAATATCTCATGGGAGAGCGATGTTGAAGTCCTCTAGCCAAAGATAAACAGAAATACACCTTTAGTCCACAAAGAGGTTTATTGGCTTGCAGCAGGGATAGGGCACCCCGGAGGAACTCAGGGGGGCCAGGCAGGATGGGCTGGGAGGGGGTTACTCTAGGATTTGGGCTTGTGCTGGGTGACTTGAAGCAGGAACTTAGGTAGTGGGGACCAGCTCTCAGCTGAATACAGGCGGCAGTCCAGCAAGAGGGTATTGTAGGGTAAGTTTAAAAACTCATTATTTTCCCTGTTGCCAAAAGGAAGAGAAACCCATTCCCTCCTTCCTTTCTTAAAGCATTTCTTTGAGAAATTGTGTGTGTGTAAAGCTTTCCTGTCTCTTTGAGATGTATGCAAATCTGTTTTGTGCGTGCTATTTTTTAAAATTATGGTAAAATATACATAACAGAAAATTTACCATGTAACTATGTTTATGTATACAATTCAATGACATTAAGGACATTCACAGTGTTGTGGAACCATCACCACTGTCTCTTTCCAGAACTTTTTCATCACCCTAAACAGAAACTCTGTACCCATTAGGCAATAACTCCCCACTCCCTCCTCCCTCCCAGCCCCTGGTAACCTCTCATCTCCATTCTGTCTCTATGAATTTGCCTATTCTAGATGTTTCACGTAAGTGGGATCATACAATATTCGTCCTTTCGTGTCTGGTTTCTTTCACTTAGTGTAATGTTCCCAAGGTTTGTCCATGTTGCAGCGTGTATCAGTGCTCCATTTTTTTTTTTATGGCTGAAGAACGTTCCGTTGTGCACGCATACTACATTTTACAAATCTTTTTAAAGGCTAAGTACGCCTCTTGCCACTATTACAACCCAGGAATGTTTTTCTTAGGGACCTGGGAACTATCTCTTTGAAATGTAAATATCAGGGAAGATAGTGTCCCTATCTCCCTGTGACCATGGGAGTTTAACATGAGCACCTTGTTCCCAGCTGTAAGCACCTGCTTGTCGTAAAGATGAGAAGTTTTATTATTCTTTGAGATGAGGGCAGTTAGCTAGCACAATAGGTACCCCAATTACCGGGTGAGCTTAGGATGAACTAGGAAAGAATGTATGAACTAGGACAGGTGTGGTCAGGTCCTCTTACCTGAGGACAAGTTAACACTAATCTCGAGAACACGTACGTGAGGCAGTGACTGGCGTATATAAAAAGGATGGGATTTCTTTCTGTCTTTGTAATCTCATCAGCGGATTACCTGTGATGTGCATCACAGTCTGGTTTAACGCTTGTTCAATAATAAAACTGTTCTCCATCTTTTCTAGAGTCACAGAGAGGATTTTCTGGATTGGCAAGCGATTCTAGTATCTTAGTCATCTTTGATCAGAAGACAGGAAGCAAGAAGGAGGGCCGGGATGTCACTGATAAGAAAGCAAGAGTTGTTCATAAGAACGACTTACCAATTGTCTGTGCAGTTGAGGGGGTCTACCTTCTGCCCTACTGGGTGGAAACTTGGTTTATCAAGGTCTGAGCATCATCAGGGCTGATTTTCACATTCTTATGGCCAGGATGGAAGCCAGGGGAACAGTTAGGAGCTACAGAGGGGGCATGGACTAGGGCAGTGGCTGAGGAGACTGAGAGAAAGACACAGATTTGAGAAATATTAGGAATGATCTTTTAGAAAAGAAAATGGCTTCCCTGTTCCAAGGAAAAAAAAAAAAAGTTTCCCTGAAGAAACTGAGACACAGAGAACTTAACCTCTGTTGGGCATTTGAATATGGAGACTGCTTCCGAGCGCACTTAAGACAAAATCTCAGCCCTTTCTGAGATCCTGTGGGGTCTGACAACAGTGAGGACATGCAGTGTTTGAAAGCACGGAATCTGGAGACGCCACCTGATTCCAGTTCGGAGCTGCCCAGCTGAGCCCTTCTCCATTTCCTGGCCCACAAAACCAAGAGGAGAAAAACAAGGTTGTTTTAAGCCACGAAGTTTTGGGTTTATTTGTTATGCTGCAAGAGTAACTGATATATGTGTATTGTTTCATTTAATAGGAAGATCTATCATTATCCCCATTTTATAGATGAGGAAACCGAGGCACAGAGAAGTCAAGATCTATTGCGCATTTGGATATGGATGGTGAGGGAGAGAGGTGCCAAGGATGGCGACAAGTTCCGGTTTTGCAGGAATGGATGGATGGGCAGCCTTTCCCAAGGCAGGAACCATCGGGAGAGGACAGGGTAAGTGGGGGTGGGGGTGTGAGTTCACTCTCGGATAAGTTGAGTTTCAGGGCCCCAAAGGGAATGTCAGGGGAGCAGCTGGCTGACTGAGTCTAGATCTCAGAGGAACAGGCTGGGCCAAAGAGGGAAACGTGGACATTTAAACTGGGTTTGGATCGTCATTCCGGCTGTAGACAGGGGTGAGAAAGTGAAAGAAGGGGGCCTGTGGCTGAGCCCCAAGGTACCCCAACATGCACCATCTGGGGGAGGTGGCAAAGGAGACTGAGAAGGACCTGCCCTAGGGGTAGGAGGAGAACCAGGAGAGGGTGGGGCCACAGAGGCCAAGGGGAACCAGCATTTCGAGGAGAAGCAAGTGGTAAACAGTGTCTGCAGGGGGAAGACAAGAACAAGGCCAGGAAAATTCCACTGAATTTAGAAGCGTGGCGGTGCAGACTCTCTCCTAGATCTGCCAGACTCCAGCGGCTGCTCTAAACCTCTCTGTTTTAATGACTAGGAGCAGCAGCGGTAGCTCTGTCCCCGCCCCCCCTTCATATGTTGAAACCCTATCCCCCAGGACCTCAGAATGTGACCAGATTTGGAGACAGGGTCTTTAAAGAGGCCATTAAAGTAAAATGAGGTCGAGTGAGCCCCCAATGCAATATGACTGGTGTCCTTATAAGAATAGATTAGGTCACAGACACACACACAGAAGGAAGACCACGTGAACACACACGAAGAAAGCCATCTACAAGCCAAGGAGAGAGCCTGCAGAAGAAACCAACCCTGCCAACACCTTGCTCTTGACTTATAGCCTCCAGAACTATGAAAAAATAAATTTCTGTTGTTTAAGCCACACAGTCTGTGGCATTTTGTTATGGCAGCCCTCGCAAACTAACATATGCAGTAACACACAAAAAAACTATTGAGGTGAAATTCACATAACATAAAATTAAACCATTTAAAGTGATTCAGAGGCATTTAGTACATTCACAATGTTGTGCAACCACCACCTCTATCTAGTTCCAGACATTTCCATCACGCCAAAATAAAACCTGTTCCCTTTAAGCAGTTTCTCCCCATTTCTCCATAACACTGTTTTATTGAGTACTTTCTCTGTGCCAGGTACAGTTCTGTACACTTTACACAAATGTACTAATTCTAACAACAGCCCAGGAGCCCAGCATTATTATTATTTTCTCCATTTTACTGATGAGAAACTGGACCTCAGAAAGGCCTGCAATCAACAGATAATCATTGAGAATCTGCTACGTGCCAGGCCTGGGCCAAGTAACTGGGCCTCTGGAGGTGAATCAAACGCAGCCCTGATCCTGAAGTTGCTTCTGATGTAGTGGGAAAGACACAGGTTGAACAAATAGTTATAAATTAAGCAAATAGTTACAAGATTGCAAAATGTTGGGAAGGAGCCATATCTGGTGCTGGGGCTGGGGTGAGGGAAGGGAGGGCATCTGGGGAGGTTAAGCTAAGGCCTGGAGGAAGAGGAGGAGCAGCTGGAAGGAGGGCATGTTGGCACAAAGCACATTCCAGGCAGTGGGAATAGTATACATGTGAGGGACAGAAGCACGAGGAAAGAGACCAGCCTGGCTGGGGCGTGGCTAGTGAGGGAGAAAATGGCCTCAAAGAGGCAAGGAGAGGCAGACAGGAGTCTTTCCCTTTGCAACAATGTTAGAGATTTCAGATTTATTTCTAAGGGCCATAGGGATCCATGGATGGCTTAACACCATCCATTGACAATAACTTTACTTGTTCAACTCTTTCAGGGCATTCTGATTTCCAAAGGAACACTTGATTGCACCTCCATGTACTGACAACAGATTGTTCTATAACTGTGTGTCCCCCTAATTGGACTTTGAGCTCCTGGGAGGCAAGGGCACCATCTCACTCACCTCTGTCTCCCCAGGGCAGACAGCACAGGGCTTGGCACTGAACTGGGCTTAAATATGTATATATAGAAGAGGCCCCACTCACACCTGAGTGGTAACTCCTGCTTTGAGGGTTCAGATCCAGGCTCTACCACTTGTTGTCTCTGTGACTTTGAACCAGTGACTTCCACCTTTATGAGCCTTGTTTTCCTTATCTGTAGAATGGTATAATTGTGGTACCTATCCTAGAGGACTCAAATCAGGAGTCCCTGAAGAACGTATGTAAAGTGCTTCGCACCGCACCCACTCAAGAATATTGTGTGTTGTTATTACAGTCAAGCAGAAGTCAAGCGGATCTGGATTAGAATCTAAGACAAGGGACTCTGAGCAAGTCTGTTCATCTTCCTGAGCCTCAGTTTCTCCATCTGTAACCTGGGGAGAGGAACAGTGCACCGGGTTCTTGGGAAGGTCCGAGGAGCTCATGCACAGGAAGCGCTCAGCCCACACGAGAAAGATGGATGCTACCCCGGCTCCCGGCCCACAGCGCAGTTCTTTTCCAAAACGCATTTCCTTCCCTTGGCGGCGGCGCAGTCCTGGAGCGCGGCCCGCGAGGAGGGGGGGCGTGGCCACGGACGTGGGCGGGGCGATGTCGCGCCCGCCCCTCGAGCCGGTGGGCGGGGCGAAGCGGGGCGCCCCGGCGTGTGCGTGCGCGCGCGGCGGCCCAGGTACGCGGACAAGATGGCGGCGGCAGGGGGCGAGAGCGCGATGGACGTGGTGCCGGCGCTGGCGGAGGAGGCCGCGCCGGAGGCGGCGGGCCTCAGCTGCCTCGTCAGCCTGCCGGGCGAGGTGCTGGAGTACATCCTGTGCAGCGGCTCGCTGACGGCCGCCGACATCGGCCGCGTCTCCAGCACCTGCCGGCGGCTGCGCGAGCTGTGCCAGAGTAGCGGGAAGGTGTGGAAGGAGCAGTTCCGGGTGAGGTGAGCCAGCGCCCCGCCGCCCGCGCCCCCGCTCTGCGCCCCCCG